AGCAGAAGCGATGGAAAGTGGAAACAAATTCCAGGCTGGATTCAGTCCTGCTGCTGTCATCTATAAACTTACCCGGTGGGGAACTGGTGAGTGTAGCTGATGTGAAGCAGAGCCTTGTCCTGCTTCCATGTCAGGAGCTGAGGCAGTGGGAAGCTCTGGAGCCCTTCCCACAGTTAGCAGGAGCATAGTGATGGGGTTTGTGGGTGGCTCTGTAGCTATGACATCTTTAACTCCAGTGTTACTTGGACACAAATAGCTGAGTGACCTAAAGGTATGCTGGGCTGCCTGGCTTTCCTTTGGGGACCAGGTTGTGTTTCATGTGACATCTAAGCTCCCCCACAAGGTAGGTGTTAATGGATTTTTTTTATTCTGAGCTACTCATGTTCTTGCTTTGTGTGTTTCAGAGAAGGAGATCAGCAGAAGATGAGCTTGCAATGAGGGAATACCTGCAGGAAGGGGATCTCATCAGTGTATCCTTCCACTGCTCCCACAGAAAGAAGAGCCAAGGGTGTGGGAGTCAGAGCTCCTTGGCCTGGCCAGGGCTGAGAGCTCTGCTGGGATGGCACTGGGCAGCCTTAGGGGCATTGTTTCCTTAATTTCCACCAACAGGCAGAGGTCCAGTCTATATTTTCTGATGGGGCTGTATCCCTGCACACCAGGAGCCTGAAATATGGGAAGGTAAGCTGTTCCAAAGCACTTGAACTTGGCCTAGTTCTGCACCAGTTGACTTATACAAGGCCTTTTGGAGGCTTGCTCAAGAAAAGAGCTCTGGAGTAGAGCAGGATGTTGTTATAACCCACTCTGCAGGATAGGATGAATCTCAGCTCCTACATGGGAGCTCCAAGTGGAGTTTCACTGAAGCAGAGATGTCCTTGAGTTGCCCTTTGAGCCACTGCTCTCCCTGTCCACATTTCCAGCCTGTTTCCCCCACTAGCCATTTGGGAATTAAACCCTGGGGAGAAATCTCACTCCAGCTTCATCACTCCTCTCCTGCAGGCCGTTGCCCCTGTGCCTTGTTTCCCTCCCCAGGGTTCTATTTTAGGCTTTACACAGTTGGCATTTATCTCTGGTTTTGTGCATTGAAAAAAGCCAAGAAGCCATTGGAGCGTGGGCTGCAGTTTGGGATTACCAGACCAAGGGTATTAGCACTTAAAAGATGAAAGGGAAGTGTGCTTATTGCACAAAGGGTGAAGGACAGTGATTGGATTAAGAGGGAAAGTGTTGTGCTAAATTGGGCCTCTCCTCATTTTTCTGCAGGGATGGTTGATGTGTAGGTACGATCAAGATATTATTAACATTTGTGCTGAGCACTTAGAGTATTCTTCATCTTCAAAGGGCTGCACAGGCATTAGCTAATCCTCCCAGTGCTCCCAGAGGCAGGCAGGTTTTATACCCACTGTTTCACAGGAAGGGGTGTTAAAATGGAGTGATTCCCAGACCAGGAATAGAGTGTGTGTCAGTGTTACCTGTGGTGGCTCATGGCTCTCACGCTGAGTCTCGTGGTCTCCTCTCCAGCTTGCCCAGGGTGTGCTGGTTCAGGTCTCGCCCTCCCTTGTGAAACGCCAGAAGACTCCCTTCCATGACCTTCCCTGTGGTGCATCAGTGATCCTTGGCAACAATGGTTTCATCTGGATCTACCCAACTCAGGAGCGGAAGGAAGAAGATGCTGGAGGCTTCGCCACCAACTTGGAGGTGAGAGTTTGAGTACCGATGCTGTTTCTTGCTCTGACATAGTCAGAGGCACCTGAGAGTTTCAGGACTTGGTGTTAGGTTCACAGCAAAGGTTTTTACAGCAGTTGTGCATCGTTTCTCTGTGCATTCATCCCTTTTCCTCTGTCCTTCCTCAGCCAGTTCCCTTGGCTGACCGAGAGGTGATCTCACGGCTCCGAAACTGCATCGTGGCTCTGGTGACTCACAAGATGATGCTCTTTGACACCAGCATCCTGTACAGCTATGAAGCATCCCTTCCTCACCAGGTATAGAAACCAGTGGTGTTTATTCCACACTGGGGGAGGGAATAGAAAGGCTGCATCAGTTGCTCCTCAAGTCAGTAAATTAGGTGGTGAGGTTCCATTTGGGCTTTCCATAGCATCCTGCAGTGAGTGACAGCACAAACTGTCCCTTCTGCATAACACAACTTGCCTTGCACCATTTCAGGGATAGTTTCAAGGGTTTTGCCTCTGGCAAGGCCCCAACTATTCCTATGTCATTCCTGTGAAAACAGTGTTAAGTTTGGGATAGTGTGAGGGTACGATGCACTTTGAGAACCAATGAAATAGCAAGTGTCATGTACAGAGAGATCTTGTATCTGTTTCCACATCCCTCACTGCTGCCTCCATTTGACCTCTTGCTGTACAGCTTTTCACTGTGGTTTCTGCCAGCACAATCACAGGGAATTCTCTTCCCATAAATGAATGGGGTCTGAATTGTCTCTGCTTTCATTCCCAATGGCGGCCTGCTCAGCTAGGTGGGATGTGGTCTCACCACAGCCCTCTGAACTCCCTCACTGTGTGTCAGGAGCCTTTGTCCCCACAGAGTATGCAAAAGCAGTACTTGCTTTCTGGTGCCAATGTTGCTCTTGTTTCCACTGCAGATCAAGGACATTCTCAAGCCAGAAGTGACGGAGGAGATCATTCTGGAAGCTCGACAGAGGTTGCTGGATTTGCAGGGATAGGGCACAAGGCCAGGAGCAGTCATTTGAAGTCCCAGCATGGCAGCTTTTGATTCTCAGTATTACATGTTTTTCTCAGTGTTCTAGTCCCCAACATTCATTCCACACTTCAGAAACCACCAAAATTCCTCATTCCTAGGCTATCTCCTGAGTCCTTTTAGTACAATAGTACTAAGTAGTACTTAAGTACAATAGGCTTTCAGTGCAGCAGCCTGGAAAATTGATATCTGACCTTTACAAAGATGCAGATGCAACTGGGATGTGTCTCCTAGCACTTGTTGCTGTGTCTAGTGCCCCTGAACTTTGTGCAGAATGACAGAGAGGAAGGGATGTTTGTGATGTTTCTCTCTCCTCAAAGGCTTTCTAAATGGTTTGGATTAATTTTCTATATACAGATGTTCCAGTCTGTCTCCCGACTGAGAGCTCTTGCTTTTCTCTTGAAGACAAGATCATAGGCACATGTGTTTAGAAAACAGGAGTATCCACACCCTGGCTAAGCACAATTCTGCTTTGGCTGTCCATGGCTTGTATGTCTCAGGGGTATGAGGTGGGACGTGGCTGTTGCTGTCCATATGATCCAGGAGCTGTGGGCAAGCAGTGTCCTGGTTTGTGTACATCCTGCTGGTCTCTTTTATGCCTGATATGGTGAGCTCCTCTTCTGAGGAGGCACTGGTATTGTTTTCTATTAAATATTTTGCATTTCAATAAATTTTTGAAACAAATCAATTCTTCAGCAGTGTGTACATTAGCTTGTCTTGCTCCAGAATTAGTTGGGTCTAGCTTGAGAGCTGTGGTTGACTCGTTTCCTTGTGCCAGGAGACTTAGAATGGTTGCAGTGTCCTGTTTTTCCCCTTCAGTTACTGCTCTTCATTCCATTCAAGCAGGACTTGACCTTCCTCTTCAGCCCTTCCTCTGTAAGGATTACCTGGAGTTGTTCACATTGGCTCTCCCAGTATTGCCTCCCTGCAGGATTCTATGCAGAGGTGAGTCATGGCTGGGGGATGACAGGAGCCCAGCATGACACTGGTGAAGGTCCTCAGGCCAGTGCTTAGAGCTGGACAGGCCAAGCCAGGTGTTGGCAGTCATTCAGTCACCTCCTCTGTGCAGAATGGATGTGATGCTTTCCTTGGAGCATCCCCTCAGCTCTGTGGTGCTACATTAGAGCTGTTGTATTACATAAGTCATGTATCTATTTGTACTTGCACCACAGCACTGTAAGTCTTGAAAAGGATGAAAAAGCAAAACGTCTGCCCTAATTGTCCCTGAATCTAATTCTAACGTTACAAATTCCCACACTTGCCTCCGGCAAAAGGGAAAATTCTTTGCTGAGGCTTTTCCTGGGAACTAGGAATTCCCTTTGCTGTTGCTCCTCCAGCTCCAGCTGCTCTCCCTGTGGTCCCGAGCAGGCACTAGATGGCACTTTGGGATCGCGTTTGTGGCACTTCCCCAGCAGCCGCGCCTGGCTGCCCTGCCGCGCTGCAGGGCCTGGATAGCTGCCACCAGCGCTGCTACCCAAACACTGGAGCATAATGGGGCTCAGTGGCTAAGGACAAGCAAGGACATGGCTAATCCGTTCTGCTCCTGCACAACTGCCCGTGCTGCCTCTGAAATAGTACTCAACTTGGGGGTATCGGTGGAATGCTCCACACAAGACCTGGAGTTGTTATTTTTATGAGGATCCCTAGTAAGTGTTGCAACAGTCACATCCTCAAGGGTGTGAGGATTTCCCACATGGGAAATGTGAAAACCAAAGCTTGAAAGTGACACTTTGAGGTCTGTGCGTGAGGCTTACCCACAAGGACAAGAATGGTGCAAAAAGGCTAAAAAACTTTATCAGCCTCTGCATCTTTTGGTTAGGAAATTATTTCTTTTTTCCTTACCCAATTGCTGTAGTTTAGCAGTTGTTTATCTTATTACCACATGGGGAGATGCAGGAAGTTCTGCTGTGAGGGTTCTAGGTATGAGCAGGTTGGGGATACACAAGCAATGAGATGCTTTATGCTCATTTTTCTTAAGCATTGTTGAAGGCTGATGGGGAGAGTTGTAGTTCATCCAGCAGATTTCTTTGCATCTCTGTCACTTAAACAACTGTGTGTCAGTTCAAGGGCAAAGGGCTGAAGGGACTGTACTTCACTATCACCTGGAGAGTTGATATCTGGAAATGGTTCTGCATGCAAAATGCTGTCTTCAAGCAACCTCTCTGCAGGACCTAAAGGTCAGAAAGGGGCTGGGGTGAGGGTTATGAGGCTCTTCAAAGTGCTGTTGGTAATGTGGTGGAAACCTTGCTCTGGGGGTGGTTAATTTAGAGTTGGATCATGCTCATGGGTACCAAAGCATGGGCTGTCAGACCTGCAAGGTGAGACAGTGTCAGATTCTCATACACAGCTCTTGGCAACCTCTCTGCAGGACCTAAAGGTCAGAAAGGGGCTGGGGTGAGGGTTATGAGGCTCTTCAAAGTGCTGTTGGTAATGTGGTGGAAACCTTGCTCTGGGGGTGGTTAATTTAGAGTTGGATCATGCTCATGGGTACCAAAGCATGGGCTGTCAGACCTGCAAGGTGAGACAGTGTCAGATTCTCATACACAGCTCTTGGCAAAGGGTGCTGGTGTCTGGGACATAATGTGTGGGCTGCACAGCTGGGTTGTTCTGTATATTTTTCCTTTTTCTCTCCTTTTTTTCACCCTCTCCATAGCAGTCTTTAAAACTGTGGCCTATTTCCAGGCTTCTTAAGCTCTCTCTCTCTCCCTGCTGTGAACCTTTCTTGATTATTCATGCTCAATAAATGAGCATACAACCTGAAAATTAATGAGCTCAAGATCTGGACTGCTTCAGCTCTGAGCTTTCTGATTCCTCCTGCCTGCTGCAGCATTCCTGATATTTTGGCATTAGGGATATGTTAAATGGGGGAGGGTATGTGACTCATCCAGTTCCTTTGCTCCTGTATACCTGGCACTCTTGGTTTTAAGCCTAAGAAGAGGACCAGCTGGTGAGGTTTGGTTATGAATCTTTTCTGATGGGAGGGAAGTGAAGGTCTCAGCATTTTCCTCCCTGACCATGAGAGGTAACTGCTGATCTTTGCAAATTCAGCCAGTGCTGTGCCAAGCCCAGACCTAAATTCTGTATCAAAGCTCCAGCAAGGTCATTGCTGGCAGTTCCTGCAACCCCATCCAGCACAGCTTTGAGGAGGTGAGAGTGCCAACCCTGCATAGGGACCAAGAAACTTCCTGATCAGTTTCATGGGTGTCCAAGAAAGGTACCAGGCCAGCTGCCACTCACTGCTGATTTGGTTGAATCCCTGTGACTTTTCTGTCTCTTGATGAATGTTGAGGGCCACCAGTGCTCATCCATCCCAAAGGCATCTGGAGGTGCTGCTGGGGCTCAAGGTTTCCAATGGAGAGGTTTCAAGTATTGCTTCTCAGTCATGACCCACAGTATGACAAGGGACTTTTCCCTGGTGCCCAGCAGAGATGAGTGAGGAGTCAGATGGGGTCTGGGGAGGCCTGGCCAACAGGGTAGGCTCTGGCATTTCAGGCAGGTGAGGAAGTCAGGCTCCCTTTTTCTTGTCCACATAAGAAGATGGACAAGAAAAAATACCTTGGAAATGGGAAGTGCTTGAGATGTAAGGGAGGACTCCAGCAGCAGCAGTGTCCTCTCAAATTCTTGAAATAGTCTGTGGGATTTTGCTGGGCAACTTCTAAGCAGGCAGGGTGAAAAGGAGGAAACTATGGTTCTCTGATTTAAAAAAAAAATCCATAGTGGAAAGTGGGGTTGGAAAAACCTAGTAAATGTTCATTTCTGTATGGGGGAACTAAAATGCCTGTGCTGGTATTGAAACAACTCAGACCAACCTGATTTCTTTGGTCACCAGTGTCTGATGGTGTGCAGCCTGTTTGTAAACCAGCTGCAGCACCTGCCTGTGCTGCTTACTCCAGGGTTAATACATGGAGCAAAAGTGGAGGTGGTAACTAGTTCCCTTGCTGGCGAGTGCTGCTTGCAGAAACAAGTACACAGCATCACTCACCTTCAGAAATAATTTTCTCATTTCTTCCTGCCAGTGTTTAATTCATGTACTAATATGAAGAATGGCAAACTCCTCCCTCTACTCCCAGTAATAACCACTGGGATTTTAAATTCGTGCTAATGGGTTATTAATCCAATTACTGCTGCTTATTGCATTACCTCTGTATCATCTGTGTGCAGTTCTGCTGTTCAGCTGAGGTGATTGGTATAAATACAAAGCTTTGAGCAGCCCCTAGAAGAGACAAACCCCACTGAGATCAGAGGCATCTTGAAATGGTTGTCTGGGGCTCCTGAGGACTGTTAATTAATATGCTAAGTTTTATTATTTGGTGAAGAGGTTGACGCTTTTAAGATATTGTTATGGAGGAGACGTCACTGTTGGGTGTAAGAAGCCACACTTAATGGAAGGTAAACAGAAAAAGTACTGGAATTTCTGTTATGAAGAATAAATGCATAGGATGTACTCAGGCTTGATTGAAAGAAACAGTCTGTAGCTTTTTTAATTTACTCTGCATTCCCGTAATATTTCTTGTCTTCTCTAACAATTTCTGAATCTACTGGGAAGCTTCCAAATTTAACATGAGACAATCATGTTCACAAAAACTGGCAGCAGGGTAGGGCACAGAGAATGTAATACCCTTCGGGAAGGAAAGGAGAGGAGGTGTCTTCTGGAGTTCACTCTGCTTCAGCTCTGCTGTGGTAGGAGAGATTATCCAGGATGCTCCAGTCAGACCCAGAAGGGAATAACTTTTTCAGTAAAGGATGGTTGTGATTGGTTTTTGTACCACATTTCTCTTGGGCTGCTTGGCCTGTGTTGACAGACAGCTTTGTTTCCTCACTTTCCTTCAATCCATGGGAGCTGAGCAGGGGGTCAGATCACCTCAGCAAGAGGCTGATCTCCATTACTGAGATAACCTGGAGAAATTCTGCTGAGCTCAAGAGACGTGACCCTGGATTTGTCTCAGTACAATGTACCAGAATTTCTCTCTCTGCATGTGTGTAGCACCAATAGCCTCAGTACCTGCAATTTG